AGCAAATTTCACTTCACAATTATCCATTAGACTTCACTAGCATTGCATTTTCCAGAGATCCCCATTCTTCTGTCCACACGGATGGGGGCAGGCTGGATTTACACAGGCAGCAGGAAGTCGTGTTAGAGAAGAAGAAGAGGAGGAGGAGGAGGAGTTTGGATTTGATATCCCGCTTTATCACTACCCGAAGGAGTCTCAAAGCGGCTAACAATCTCCTTCCCTTCCTCCCCCACAACAAACACTCTGTGAGGTGAGTGGGGCTGAGAGACTTCAGAGATGTGTGACTAGCCCAAGGTCACACAGCAGCTGCTTGTGGAGGAGTGGGGAAGCGAACCCGGTTCACCAGATTACGAGTCCACCGCTCTTAACCACTACACCACACTGAGTTCAAGAGATGGAGAGTAGGTGGTAACCCTTCAGATTGCAGATGGACGAATCCCCTTTTCGACATTATCTCTCTTCTAACGAGAAGGCAGGAGCTCCAGCTGGCCTTGCTGCACCCCCCCCCCCACACACAGGCACAACGTGGCAGTTTCCATAACCTCTTGTGTTGGAATGGCGTCCAGCACAATCTCGTGTGTGTTTTTAAGAAGTCACTGAAATTAGACACAGAAAAGAGTCTAGCTCAGGGGTAGTTAACCTTTTTATACCTACCGCCCACTAGTGCATCTTTCTTGATGGTAAAATATCCTTACCGCCCACCAGTGCTCGATGGAAGGAGGATTCACCTTGTGCCATAGAACCCCCTACCGCCCACCTAGAATCCTGAAACGCCCACTAGTGGGCAGTAGGGACCAGGTTGGCCACCCCTGGTCTAGCCTAACTCTCTCCCAGGCAAAATCAACCCCTCACTTTCCCCAAGAACTTTCAATACAATTTATGGGATGCCTTTTGGCTTTTGGTGAAATTTCTGGAAGCTGTTACCCCAGAGATATAACTGTTCCTGAAGAATAATCATGCAGTTTGAAACATGGGCAGGGGTGAGTGCCCCCGTTCCTAAAGAGAATTCTTGGTTTTTACTTTTCATTCTGCTGTGAAAGTTCTTCACGAGCAGAGCAAGAAAACTCAAGGGTGGTGACCCTAGCTGACCCTGAACGAGTTGCCAAGCACACATTTGGGCTCCCAGGTATTCGTCTTTGTATGCAAGGCGGAGAGCTTGAATAGTCGAGTCTGCACCCTAGGGATGAAAGAAAACAAGGATGCATTGGCCCACATCTTCCAGATGAAGAGACATTGCAAACCTCTGTGTATTTTTAGCTCTGTTCTTCCCCACTGCTCATGAGGCCCAAGCAGCATGGATCCATCATCTCCTTTTAACTAATGTGCCTCTCCTTTGTGTTCAACCTCCTATCACTGATTAATTTCAATTAATTTCGCTGGAGATGTGGAAACATTTAGCAGACACAACCAGCGCCTCCTTGTTAAATGCTGCGGAGGCTAATTGGGATGCTGTTGTGCTGCGGTGTTGTCTGGAAGCTGTCATCTTTGTTCACACTCAGATAAATAAGTTTGTGGATTGGATCTCACTGGGGCTCTCACAAGGGGCAGAGCTATGGATGGCACATACAAAACAGTTCCTGTCATTGCGGATTTGTTCCCCAGTTTTTCACAACGGGTGGTTGTGCAGATTGTTTTGCAAATGGTCCCTTAACAGAAATTCCATCAATTCACCTGAAAATGGCACCGGGGTTGGGGAAGGGGAAGGAAGGGAGAACTACTCCTTGCTGCCCAACTTCAGTTCTGATTTAGGGCCATTTGTTAGGGGTGTAACTTGTAATTCACAAAAGCCATCTTCAAATATCTGAAGGGTGGCAATGTGGAAAATGGAGCAAGCTTGTTTTCTGCCGTTCCAGAGGGTAAGGCCCAAACCAGTGGATTCTAATTACAAGAAAGGAGATTCTGAAGAAACATTAAGAAGAACTTCCTGGTGGCAAGACCTGTTTTTACAGTGCAACAGACTGCCTTGGAAGGAGTGGACTCTCCTTCACTGGAGGTTTTTTAATGGAGGATGTTTGGCCATCTGCATAGGATTCTTTAGCTGTGACTCCTGATTGCAGCGGGTTGGACTGGATGACCTTCGTGATCCCTTCCAACTCTACAAGTCTCTTCTTCTTCTTTGGTGATCACTCATAGCTGAGTAAGATTGTCTTCCATAAACACAGTTTTAGCAGTGAGTCTGTAAGTGACTGTGGAGGCCAATTCTGGATCCACACGTCCTTCTACAGTGGGGACATAGGTTTCCAGATGGGAGTTGATCCTGGTGAGGGTTTGCCAAGCGTGCCTTCCTCTTAGCATGTGTCTCCCTTTTGTCCTGAGTTCGAGTGTCTTCAAAGCCCATGACACCTTTGGTGAAGGCTGTTCTCCAACTGGAGTGCTCGCAGGCCAGTGTTTCCCAGTTGTCAATGTTTATACTACATTTTTTTTAGATTTGTCTTGAGAGAGTCTATAAACCTCTTCTCTTGACCACCAGAATTACGCTTTCCATTTTTAAGTTCGGAATAGAGTAGTTGCTTTGGAAGATGATCATCAGGCATCCACACAATATGACCAGTTCAACGAAGTTGAAGTTGAAGAATCATTGCTTCAACTCTGGTGATATTTGCTTCTTCCAGTACACTGGCATTAGTTCACCTGTCTGCCTATGATTCTATTATTCCATCCAGGCAAAGGGACACAATGAAGGTGTAGTGCAGGGCCTGGGAAGACTCCTGAGGGCCAGATTGAGTAGCTTGGAGGGCCATATTTGCCTGAGGTTCATCCCCCTTGTAGTAGGACATGGAGATTTGGTGGGGGAGGGGGAAGGGTTGTGGCAATGGCTTCCCTATTTGTTGATGCTGAACAGTTAGATAAACATAATATTAAGACGACTGGTTGTATCCACCAGACCTGCATCACTTATTAACTTCTAAATGACACACCACACCACTGGCGCTTTATAACTATCAAGAGACAGTAGCAGCACGCATTCCCCATGTCGCCCATATTCATTTCAATAGGGCCCATGGATTGCATCCTGCTCTGTAGCTGCAACAATTTATCTTAGCCATTATCTTTTTTATGGATGCTTGTGCTTTTGTATCTGCTAGATCCAATCCTACACTTAGGATTTATGCAGCCTCAGGATGTTGGACGGCTCACATTCTAGCGAATTTATTATCCGAGGATCTCACACAACGTACCTTTTCCAAAAGCAAAGGAAAATTAAACTTAAAAAATATGGCTACATTTCCATGAGCGTTCCTCTGAGCAAATAAAACAGCATACTTCTTCCCAAATAAATTGGTTTGCTGCAGGCCAGAGGTTCTTGGAGTTTGTCAGCGAGTCCATCCAGATTTTCCAGGGTATTAAAATGCAGGGGAACCCTCTGGGGTTCTCAAAGATGTGGGGAACCTCTGCATATAAAAGGGTTCCCCATGTCAGATAGTCACCCTTCACTAGTTTCAGGGCTGTGGAAATGGCAATGTGGGGGTCAAAGTTATTATCAATACACCCAGGAGGCTATGTAGGGAAGAAGTAAACCTTTCAAGTATTTGGAGTCATTTGGGGTTTACACACTAGTGCAAGCAGCTTGAATTGGGCTAGGAAATGAAATGGCAATCACTGCTGCTTTTTCTTTTTTAGAACAGGGGTTATATGAGTTCTTAAGGCCACCCCAGCCATTAATCTGGCTGCTGTTTTTCTAGACCAGTTGAGGTTTCTGAGTCATCTCCAAGAGGAGTCCCACATAAAGTGTATTGCAACAATCCAAATGGACAGTTAGAAGAGGACTTCAGAGTGAAACTTTGGCCAAAAGATCAAGAAGAAAGAGGAGAACCACACTCCCTCTCTCCTGACAGATGCCTTCTACTAGGGTGACCAAGGTAGTTTCAGTGCCATCACTGGGCATGAAGCCATGATATGGATCCAGATATTCAATCTCCACCAAGCATGCCTGAAGCACTCTCTAGAGCACCTTGCCTCAAAGGGGGATATTGGTCATTGGCAATGTTTATTTAACACATGTGGGTCCTGGCAACCTGAGCTGGAATTAATGTTAGAACCATTATGAGTGAGGATGAGTGGCACATACACAAGAACATGACCTTATCAGAAGACCGGTGAGGACCAGTTGAAGAAGAACCTAAGAGACAACTGTCCTTTGAAAAACAACTCCAGAGAAGGTGTGAGGCGCGTTCCTGCATGTACAGGAAAAGTGGGTTGAGCAAGTTGATTTTCATGCACTGTGGTTGTAAGAGAGATGGTGAAGTGTTGGGGTGGCTGGGTGAACAGCTAATATTATGCATATTTGCTAATATAATCCTATATTTCCTGTTGGAACTCCTCTTGCAGACTCGCTGGACTCTGTCCAACATAACAGTGGTACCTCGGGTTACATACGCTTCAGATTACAGACTCTGCTAACCCAGAAATACTACCTCGGGTTAAGATCATTGCTTCAGGATGAGAACAGAAATCGTGCTCCCGCGGCGTAGCAGCAGCGGGAGGCCCCATTAGCTAAAGTGGTGCTTCAGGTTAAGAACAGTTTCAGGTTAAGAACGGACCTCCGGAACAAATTAAGTACTTAACCCGAGGTACCGCTGTACTGAATAAAGTCTGACCAATTGGAAATTTGGTAAGAGCCTCATACCTGAACCCTCAAAGGGAATCCCCACCCCCAACCATTCTTAAGGATTTGCACAGGATTTGTAGATTTAATTCTGGGACTGGCTCAATATATTTTTCTGCCAGAGGCACCTGAAAAATATGTCCCCTTCCCCAATCCTGTGCAGAGGAGAGGGGCAGCTGGCTACACTTGCCCCAGGCCTCAGAGGGCTTAGCTGGCTGGGGAGCCCCACTAGGGGCTCCCTGCTTTTTTGTTTGCGTTTATAACTTTATTCTAACTGGACTCCCATCCTAGGCCTCAGTCAAGCTCTGAAAGGCCTCCCTTCTCCATTCCATAGGAAAGGAAGCAGCTGCCTTAGAATGAGTCTGACTAGGAGCAGTTCCCTAGGAATTCAGAGAGGAATCATTCCCCAGGGATTGAACATGGGACCTCCTGCCTGCAAGACAGATGCTATACCACTAAACCAGGCATCCCCAAACTTGGCCTTCTAGATGTTTTGGGACTACAACTCCCATCACCCCTAGCTAACAGAACCAGTGGTCAGGGATGATGGGAACTGTAGTTCCAAAACATCTGGAGGGCCGAGTTTGGGGGTGCCTGCACTAAGCTATAACCCTTCCCAGCTACAGAAGCTGAGGGTACTGAAAGCTGAGTCTTACTTCAGCACTAGTAAGAGGACAACACCCTCCAACTGTGCATGAGGACAGCAGGCTATGTAGAACAGAGCTCTGTCCCTCACCACCTCCAAACATATTAATAGGGCCAGCTCTACTAAATCCAAGCAGAATAAACAATTACCAAATGTCTTTCTTGGAAAGATGTAATTCTTTGTTTTCTTTTTTAATTTCTTCCCTTAAGAATCTAGGATCATGGGACAGTACCTTATATTGAGTGAGACCATTGGACCAATCACTCAGTATTGTCACGTGGGTGGCGCTGTGGTCTAAACCACTGAGCCTCTTGGGCTTGCTGATCAGATGGTCGGTGGTTCAAATCCCCACAATGTGGGGAGCTCCTGTTGCTCTGCCCCAGCTCCTGCCAGCCTAGCAATCCGAAAGCATGCCAGGGCAAGTAGATAAAGAGATACCACTGCGGTGGGAAGGTAAACGGTGTTTCCGTGAGCTCTGGTTTCCATCACGGTGTTCTCTTGTGCCAGAAGTGGTTTAGTCACGCTGGCCACATGACCCAGAAAGCTGTCTGTGGACAAATGCCGGCTCCCTCGGCCTGAAAGCGAGATGAGCGCTGCAACCCCATAGTTGCCTTTGACTGGTTCCTTTACCTTTTTAACCTATTGTCTACATAAGTGTTTCCCAAACTTGGGTCTCCAGCTGTTTTTGGACTACAATTCCCATCATCCCTGACCACTGGTCCTGCTAGCTAGATATGATGGGAGTTGTAGTCCAAAAACAGCTGGAGACCCACGTTTGGGAAACACTGGTCTACACTGACTGGCAGAGGCTCCCCGGGTTTCAAGCAGAGAGTGTCTCCCAAACCTATGTAGAGATTCTGGGGATTCAACCTGGGACTTTCTGCCTGAAAAGCGGATACTGTCCCATGGAGCCACAGCCCCCTTTCCCCGCAGTCAGTGATGCCTTGGACGTCTGCCCTCTCCACAGTCAATATTTCATCCGCAATTCTTCCCCCACTTCCTATTTTGCATGTGTTTATTGACCTTGAGCGTATTTCACATTAATTCATCAAGCAGCTGCATCCTTTTCGTTACCTTGGCATTTCACTCCGCCGCTAATGGCGTAAAGGCATGGTAAGTATTTTTAAAGATCCCACTCCGCCCCTTTCATACATTCCCAGGGCAATAATTTTATTACACCGCTCCCTCTTTTCATCTGTGTTATCTGTTTCCCATGGACAGAGGCCCTTCATCACGCCTGATAATTCTATTTGGTGAAAGATGCTTTTGTGAAGAAGGGGGTGTGAGAGAGAGAGAGGAAAAAAAACTCTGATGCCTAATTTATGAGATAAGCCTGGCTGACAAGAGAATGACCTTCTTCCTCTATCTGGTTATTAAATTGTTTGTGATCTAATAAAATGCTGGTAATACACTCCTTTTCAGCGGGGTTTTAATTTCCTACCTGACATTTAGATTAAAAAGAGTATGGATTGGGAGAAGAGATTTGTCACAGTCAAAGTAGAAAAGATGGGTCCCGCTACCCTCGGAGCACCTAAGCCTGAGAGACGTTTGTTTGACTTTGAGGAGGGGATTTGCTCCCGGGCAAATTATTTCATAATGTATGTTATTGATATGTATAAATAGAGATGTAAGAAAATCCCTGGGAAATGTCATATTGAAAAACCTTTTAGCGGCTTTTAAAGATTCCTCAGGCATTTAGCCAGAGGTGTGTAAAGTACCAGGAGTCTTCGAGCTGAGATACCGGTGCTAAGATCCAGGGGGCATGTTTTTCTTCACCAACAGAGAAGCCTGACAGAGAACCAATTCCTAGGCGGAGAGCTGTGTTAGACACAGGGACACAGGAAACTGCCTTACAGGAAGCCAGACCATTTGTCCATTGTCTACTCATGGGCTGGGGAGCTGTTTGGGACCCGTGGGCCAGAACTTTGTCTACATGCCACCCCACCCAACTTTGACACTTTCTTTTATCTGTCCTGAATCTTCCAGCATTCAACTTCCTTAGGTGGTCCTGAGTTCCAGTGTTTTCTCCATGCACTTTTTCAACACATAATTTTATAGACTACTATCATATCACGCAGGTGGCACTGTGGGTTAAACCATAGAGCCTAGGACTTGCCGATCAGAAGGTTGGCGGTTCGAATCCCCGCAACGGGGTGAGCTCCTGTTGCTTAGTCCCGGCTCCTGCCAACCTAGCAGTTTGAAAGCACGTCAAGGTGCAAGTAGATAAATAGGTACTGCTCCGGCGGGAAGGTAAACGGCATTTTCGTGTGCTGCTCTGGTTCGCCAGAAGTGGCTTAGTCATGCTGGAAAAACGCCGGCTCTCTCAGCCTATAGAGCGAGATGAGCACGCAACCCCAGAGTCGGCCACAACTGGACCTAATGGTAAAAGGTAAAGGTAAAGGTACCCCTGCCCGTACGGGCCAGTCGTGTCCGACCCTAGGGTTGTGCGCCCATCTCACTTAAGAGGCCGGGGGCCAGCGCTGTCCCCAGACACTTCCGGGTCACGTGGCCAGCGTGACAAGCTGCATCTGGCGAGCCAGCGCAGCACACAGAAACGCTGTTTACCTTCCCGCTAGTAAGCGGTCCCTATTTATCTACTTGCACCCGGGGGTGCTTTCGAACTGCTAGGTTGGCAGGCGCTGGGACCGAGCAATGGGAGCGCACCCCGCTGCGGGGATTCAAACCGCCGACCTGATGATCGGCAAGCCCTAGGCACTGAGGTTTTACAGCACCTCCCTCTGGCCATCTGTGCATGCACCATTGGGAGTACTGGCAGACAAACACTGGAACATGTGGGTGCTATGTTTGTCATCTCTGAGACTGTAGCTTAGGGTTGTCTGTTGTAGCTTTGGATGCTATAGGTCCTGGACTGTAAAGGTCACCCCATATTTCAGCCAGTCTCCATGATCTCCATGATCACTGTGGGCAGACACCTGAATCTCTGCAGCAGCTTTAGCTTGGAGGTGGGCTTCCATCTCTACACCAGAGTCCCCATCCTCACAAAAGATTGCTGGACAGAGCAGGGGTGCAAGCTCATAGTTGCAAGAGTTGCAAGACTGAAGCTGCGCAAATCATGAGCAGCAATACACCATCGGTGGCAGGAAGCAATCCCAGAGATGTTGCAAGGGATTATTTGTGCTGTATATATTTATGGACGCTTCTCCCTGAGTAGGTGTGCAGGAAAGCCTCCACACACACACACACACACACACCCAACTCCCCACAGGTACATGTGCAACTGTCACTTACATGGCAGAAGCCAAAGATAGATGAGTGAGAAGCAAAAACCTGCAGCCAGGAAGATAAGAGCTGATGAAAGAAGCAGCCCGGATGAATTCCTGGAAGGCTGTTTTATGCTTTTAATTTTGTCTCTTGGCAGTGCTGTTAATCTCAGAGAAAGAGGAGGAGAGGCAGTGCAATACCAGCGCAGAATGGACTGCCCCGCAGCCCTGCAGGTGCTGATATGTTTTGGCTGTGCTTCCCATTTTTCTGTTTTTGTTTGTTTGTTTGTTTCCTGAAAGGCTGATGCAAGCAGCGTTTGTAGTAACTTCAAAGAGATGCGAGACTTCTCCAGGAGACTCAGCACTCCCCTGATTTCTGTTTCCTCTTTTCTCTTTGCTGCAGGCTCTAACGCCTTGGGCAAGGATCTGGTTGGGTCTCAACAGGGAAGTGAGACTGAGCTTAACATTTGTTTGGGAGAGCTCCACGAAATAATGTAAACTGGTAGGATAAGCCACAAGCGTTGGCAGAGATAAGCACAACATGAGTTGGGGGATTTCACTTGCCACTGGAATTTTAAATTTAACCACCATTCTGCACATGCATTCAGGGGCCAAGAGATGTCTGGGTGTCCATGCAAATACGCTTGTCCATCCATTTCATTTCATTCATTTTTTGCATTTATTTCCCACCCTTTTCTCCAAGGAGCTCAAAGTGATGTGCACATGGTTCTCCCCCTTTAAATGCTGGCAATTTTCATGAAAGCTTATTAAAAATGTAGCCTGATATGGAAATGTAGCAAACTGAAGATTGGCAAAATGAGATACTGAAATGGACAGATTTGTCCAACTTCAGCCTAGACTACGCTATAGGAGAGCTTGAAGGAAGGGAAGTGTTGGCAGGTAGCTGTCAAGTCACATGGAAGAGATAATAACATTTTGAGCTGAGTTGTGAACTGTCTTCAAAACAAAAGAAGGTGGCTAGATGGAAACAATAAAAACAAAGTAGGACATCAAAACAAGGTTTCAAACCAACATTCATGGCAGTTGGTGCTGTGTAAAGATGCTGTCCTGCAGCTGCTGAGGAGGCCAGCGAGGAAGAAGAGATTACATCAGGCATTCAGCTGCAGGTTGAGTCTCCATCATGTCATGGAATGTTCATAAACATTCCAAGTGCTAAAAGTGTTAAGTTGCCAGCACTTGGGGAAAGGAGAGTGGGCAATGATCTGATTAGTGGGAAGGTTTGGAGAGAAGAAAACAATTTTATCATATTTGAGCTGGATAAATGGAGAGTAATGTGTATGACTTGAGGAAAGTATGAAGGCCAACTAAGATATCTGGTGGAAGACCTGCTTTGTGGACCTGGTGCACTAGCAAATAACTTTTTAGTTTTCCTGGAAGGCTGACCCAAGCAACATTTATAGTCAGTGGCGGAGCTTCATGCTCTGGCACCGGGGGGTGTACAGCAGGTGGGGGCATGGCTGGTGCGCATCCTGGGGGTGTGGCGCTCGTCCGGGGGGCGTGGCGTGCCACCTGCAGGGGTGTGGCTCCCAGCGTGGGCAGGGGAGCAGCTGCCATGGCACCCCACCAGAATCGCCCTGCAGGG